AATAATAACCTCCTGTTGCACATTATATTTGAATAATTTTATACGTTTAAAAGATATTTTAATCAGCAATTTTCTTTACAATATTGCCAAAAAGAGTTATATGAAACATAATCCCCCTTTGTATTATAATGTTGACTTAATATATTTCAAAATCAATGAATAACTCAGTATAATAGATGTTTTTTACCATCTTATTGACAGAAAGATTCTTTACATGTCACTGATCAATCAGTTTAAATCATTGCCATTCATTGCTATAATGATTAAAGTAACAAAAAACTGAAATGCTTTATTTGTTTAGTTATTCTCTTCATTTTGCCAATTAATGTCAGTTAGAAAGCATTAGTTGTAACACGTTTATAATCTTATTATTTGAAAACTTGTTTAAACAGTATTGAAAGTATCATATTTTCAACGCTATTTTGTACGTTCAATTTCAATAGGACATTTAATAATGAAAATGTGTTTTGCAAAATTTCCTTTTACCAAATTTTGTATAGATATATCTTCAATTATCTTGATATCAGAAGAACATGAAATTTTAACAACCAAAATAACAAAACATGATGTGTTTAATATAGATGCCCTCAAAAATTGAAGAGAACCATAATAAAGAAATTGCTAATAGAGCCAATGTTCCTGTTCAGTATGGTAAATCTACTTTCACTTAAAGTTGTCATTTTCCAGTGGTATACCCGTGACGACTTATTAAGTTATTAGAGTTTTGTAATAATAGGAAATGGTTTGTTTCTTTAACCTTTACACCTCTGTATATGTTTAATAGATTGACCCTGCAGTGAATTTTGGAACTGTCCATTTGAGTCTTGGCGAGTTCCATATAGGCTGACATATAAAATGGTGTTAATCACTCGATGTAAATCTAAGATCGAAATGAAAAGTTTGAAAACGTTATAAGATTAGTCATATGTGAAAGGTGGCTTGACTTTATACGAGTGACATAGGGCAGTTAGTTTTCATAGCTAGCATTCAAAGGAATATACCTTTGTAGCATATATCTAACGTAGATCTTAACTATTTAGTGACATTGATTCCCAAAGGTGCATGACTTTAGCTAAATTTTAAAAACAAAATAACAAACAAAAATATTATTTGTTGTAAGCTATTACATGTATATGAGTTTGAAAACAAAGTTCATTATGATTTAATTTCGTTTGTGGCAAGTACATTTGAAACACAACTTTAACACTACATGTATGTCTGATATGTCAAAATATAAAACCTGGACAAGATATTGGCGTAAACAATTTTAGATTAATCCTTCTGTTGACTTATATTCTATCTGAAATAAATGTGCCAGTAAATAGATACCTTTAAGAGTTGCACCAAGAAAGGAATGAGGCATATGCATTCATTTATCTTAATTTTATTATTTTTTTTACCTTCAATTTATACAAAGTTAATATAGCATTTATCTTAAATGTGCTAAAAGATTTACCACCCTGTTTTCTAAACCTTTGATAATTAATTGTAAATATGAGTTTACAATCACCCCCTGATGTTTTATTTTATGAATTCTAACAGCGATAATGACTTGGTGCGAACAGTCCGTGTAGAGAATTGGGCGCACGTGCTTTCTCGTGCAGACTGATTACAATCAAAACTGTCCGCTGCCTCGTACGAGCGTTTAAAATTAAAACAGTTGCACACCTTTTTTCAGGATTAGAGATATAAACATTTCTGACATATTACTGATCTTGTATACTTCTCTTAGCACATAGACATTAAATCTGCGCTCCTTGATTAACTTAGTTGGTACCTCGGAGAACACAGTGGTAACAGTTTATATATCTCGCTAGTGGAAGTATTTAGAAAATAATTAGTTCCAGGGAATAATTACCACTCTCTATACTCGTACAGTTCATGTCTGTAAACATTACTCTGTGTTAAATAAATAAGATAATTTGCCTGCCATTAAGAATTAGCAAACTAATTGAGATAGTTTCGGATACATTTACAGGCGATGCACATCTTGGCCTAGCAATTTTATACGAGATATTTTCTGGTTCCCTTCCTTATAGCAATCATTTCTTCATCATTTTCATCTTGAACCACTAATGCCTTTAACTGAAACGATAGCTAAAATCGTTACCAAAATGGGGAATTAGAAAAGTAAATGGTGTATTCAGTGATATTCGAAATAAAAATAAAAACAACACTATAAATTTCCATTAAATTGTTTTTACTTTGCAACTCATAAAAATCGTGAAAATATTTTATAAAATATCATAAAACGATTTTAACAAACACCATTAACATCTTGGTATGGTGATAACAAGGTGGCAATGTTTTATCGGTAACATACTAAGATTGTTTTGTAATGCATTAAACCACTTGCATTGTACATTGTATAATTTACTGATACTGAAAACAATTGTAATGTAAAAATTGTTATTAGTGTAAACCAATTTGCATAGAAGATGACCCATTTTTTATAAAGAAAATGCAAAATTTATTGGCAATGAAAGCCATTTGCAGTATGAAATATTATGGAAATGTAAACATTTGTAAGTATAAAGAAACTCTTACTCGTAGTATTACAAATACAGTGAAAGACCTTTCGACAATATAAAACAACGTTTCAATATAGCCTCAATTGTGCTTTCTAAAAATGCAGCAACAGCTTCATTAAACAAAGAAAGCGTCTTTATTACTCGGAATACGGAATCAATCGTCTAAGATAAGTAGATTGATGTCGTCTATCCAACTCTGATTATTTACAGAACATTGATGTATCACTCCATTTGTCGCTCAATAAACAAACTAAGTGGGATTATTTGATGCCTAATATAACAACGAAGTGGCGGACGGGGGAAGGAATGTTAATAATATCATTTAAGCAAAATGTTGCCGCATATTGAAACTGATTACTGCTCAGTGTCCCGAAAATCTAGACCAAATTACAACATAGCAGGCCTTTTCGTCAATGACACATTTGCATATAGGTCTTATTAAATTAGTCATCGGACACGTTATGTAAATTGTTGAACAACTGTCAAGTCGATGCCCATATCTGATAGCATTAAATTTACAACTTTTTTCATGTACTGTTTTGCCTTTCAAATGATATTAATTGGGGTGTAAAGTATGAATCTAATGTCAGTCGATCTTCACTAAACAGTAAATTATTTGAGGAAGTTTACATTTGCGTGTTTTTGAAACGAGGATAGAATAAATAAACACGCATCTGAAAATGATATTTTGGTGCAACTGAAATTTGGTTGTTTGTTTAGAATGACGCGCAAGCTGTTGCAAGTGTAATCGATAGCAATGCATGGAGACCCAATCATTGCCATGTCATCTTTCTGGATTTAAAATCTGACAAAAATGTTCACCCGTTGATATCATGTTCTAAATTACATTTCAATCAATGTCAATAGTTTGTTTTGGATTTATTTACAGTTTAAATTATTGAACTGTCGACCCACCTTTGCTTATAATCAGATATCAATCTTGGAACACTGAAATTTTCATTTTAACTTTTTTATGACCGTTAGATTTTTGCTCTCATAAAATTGTATTGTTCAGATATGATATAATGATAATTAGCCATTGTCTAGTTTACTTATAACAGAAATTTTATTTTAGCCTGACTGTTACAAAGCACATTATCATACAAAATATAATCATTCAAATATATAAGTTGGTAGCAAAGAAAAAGGTGTTTTACAAGTATATAGTAAATCTAAACAAGTTAATTCAAATTTACTTAAAGCACCATACTCTTGTTGTAAATGTGTTTACTTTGATATGCTTGCTTGTTCAGTTTATTGCTTAATTTTGAATAACAATTATTTTAGATGTATAGGTTTTGAGTATACCTTTTCGTCCGCCTTAATATTGAATACTTAGTATATAACCAACGTACAATAATGAGTAAATTGTGAAGTGTGAGTCATAACATCATCTTAGGATAAGGCTACAAGGATAATTAATAAGATAAATTAATAAATATAAGCTCGAGACATTTCCACTTTTATCAGATTGAGAAGCCATAAGAAGGTAAAGTGTCTGAGTTTATTAAATTGTGAAAATGTGTAGACATATTTATCTTTCAGTCATAGACCATACATGTAAAATTCAGTTCTAAAATAGACAAAAATAGAATCCCTAAAGAAAGTCCAACACAACAAAACTGAAAATGTTGCAGGCTCGGTTTGATTGAGCCTGTTCATGGACGGTACTGGAATGTGCAAGTTACCGTCCACGCCCCCTAGCACCGGCATATGCAGAATTCAACATCTAACACGAAAATGGTGAAATTTTGAATTTAGAAACATCCGTAGATGTGTTCATACAGCGGTTATCATGGAACCTTCAATGTGACACAGTTTTATTAGGACTTTTTACGTCTATGAAATTATTGTGTATCGTATTGGTAAGTTTGATGTAAGTATAACGACGTATAACGTAGTGGTCTATGTAATGAGATTTAAAGCCTAAAAAACATAAACAAATTGAATTTCTTGCATAGATCAACTGGGGCACTTAAAACAGAAAGATATATGCGAACTCGGAATGAATTGAAAATCGTACTTTGTGTGTCCTTTTTAAGCCCGATTTGAGTAACGCTTTTCAAGTTTGCATCTTTTTTCCCTATTAGAATAATCATTCTGGAAAAACGGAGTAAGCAAAATGATCTGAACATAAATCTCGGAAAATTATTTCCAGTCAAGTCGTGTCAAAAAACCTCAGTATGAATTGATATTAAACTAGAAAATACATCAAATCCTATACACTATTGATGTACGTTTCCATGCACAAATACTTTGTGTCATACTGGACTAGACCAGATTTATTCAGTGTCTAAACTAAAAAGACGCAAAGTTTTTATTGCGATAGTTTTATTTGTAACGTTAATATTATTTTCATTTTTACAAGCATTCTGTATGTATGTCTCCACAGCTGTTCGTTTTTTTTTTCAATTTGATTTGTTTTTCTCAAAAATTAAAAGGAAACCCCCTGACGCCATTTGTGACAATAATTATACAATAACGAGATTTGTGCATTTTAGTCGCATTATGTACAGAAATAATACCGATTATTAAATTATTAAATATCAGACCAGAAGTTTTACATGCTCTTTTTTCAGTAAAACATTTGTGTAAAGAAAATTATAGTTTGGATTATTCTTATTTCACTGTAATTTACGTTGTCTGATATACGTCTATTAGTGAACAACGCTGTAACCGTCCGATACCACTCGCTTCCCCTTTAACTTTGAAAAAATGATATACTGTCTTCACTCGAAATCTCCGAATGGAGAACTACGAACGGTAATACAATAATAATACAGCCTAGCTCTACATTTATCTTCTCTTATGGATTTTTTATGACTTTAACGAAATGCTAGTTTTATAGTACGGAATTTAAAAATTTGGAAATTAAACTAGAATATAATTGAATTAATTAAAAATCTCTTACTTAAAACATGTTTTTCATTGATTTTCACAGAGCATACATAATGAATTACTCGCATTATGATAGTTTTGTTTTTATGCAATGAATTTTGTTTCATAAACTTTTCAGGCCCGTAAAACTAATATGATCGATCTTCGTTGAAGTATGTAGACAATATTACCATATCAAATTCATAATGAAACTGATATACAGTCGATAACGGTACAACATCTTGATTCGCATGAAAATAGTCTTGACGGGACGATGGGGAAATCAACACATATTTTATTCGTTTTGATAATAGTGTTTATGATGGTATGGAGTAAACCGCCGACCGAGCAGCGTCTTCATCACTTCCTATTACAGGTAAGTCCAATTACTTATTCGTAACTTATAAGGTAGTCGTTCTTTTTAAAAGTAATAACTCTGCGCAACAAGTATGTATAAAATAAGACACATGTTAATATAAAAAACGATTAATATAGATATAAATTGTTGGAATCTGAATTTTTCTTTTTTTATTTTAAATGATTAAATTTGTTAGGACATACCAGACCTGATAGTACTTTGATAACTTTTATGAGATTAATTACTGCTTTAAAACTTCTTTACATTCAATTTGAAACCACATATACCATGTTAAACAAGAGAAAGTTAAGATTACACGTTCAAATCGATGAAAGCCATATTTATGTGACAGGAATTATTTACAGACCGCTGATAACTTTTCGTTATTTTATTATTTTTGACTATGGTTAATTCTTAGTGTCCTTTAATGAATTTAATTTTTCTGTTAAAGTTAATTTAAAGTTTAATCAACAAGAATCGACCTTATGCATGCTGCTTATTTGATTTATTGTGATTTGGAAGTTTTGTTATAATATTTATGGTATTTCTTTGCATTACCTGGGACAAAAATAATGATATATATTTACGTCCCAGGCATTATATACTGTACATGTATAGCAAACAGTACAAATGATGCAAGGAATGTGCTAGTGGACAATGTATTTTAACATGATTCTTTTATGTTTAAAAGCCAATCAGCGGTTGTACATTTACCCCAATGTACGATCACATCGTGTTTAAAAATTCAGTGTACGATGTACATATCAATACTTGAAAAAATACTATAAAGTTACCTCCCTTTCTTCATTATAAAATAATTCAATATTATAATAATAACTTCTGCAATTAATATAACGTTAATGACGTATTGTATATTTATTGTATATCAAACTTTAGAATGTAACTTTAAAAAAAATTGACATTTGATACCTGTTTACACATGATATTTATGTTTAGAGCACCAATTGATATTGAGAATTTATCTTTTTTTTATTTAAATATCGTCATATTACTAGTATGCACAGCGGAAACCTTTTAACCATATACAGGTATATATTCTTACTAATGGGACTGTAAAAAAATCTCTTCGTCCGCATAAATATTTTATAAACAAAGTACAAAACATGTAATAAGTAAATCATAGCTAATGTACATGTTAACTAATTCACAAAAAGTTTGTGTATGTTTTCGTATTTTTAACCAGAGCGCATCATTAATTGGTACATGGGCATATATTTAATGATTAAAACATGATTATTAAGTACATGTACACTTATTTAATTACAAAATCATCGTTATTTAGTACATGTACACGAACCTAATTATAAAACGTCGTTAACACGTATTAATTCTAAAGAAATCTCGTTTAAATTTCGGTACATTGAAGTATTTACAATTACAAATACTTTTAGTTAATACAATTATCGTCAACGGTTAATAACTATTTTAACTAGCTACAGATATACATTGTAAATACATAGACTAAAAAGTTCAATTGTTTGACATTTTTATAATTTGATTTGGCGTGTTAGCTTGAATGTCCTGTACTTCATTCATAAAGCTTATACGTAAGTGCAACCAAGTGCAGCCATGTTGCTTTTCACATCAGGAAGGATCTGTTATTGAGACTCACATTCTATTTCAAATAACCTATTACTAGACCCTGTCATAGTAAATGCTCGTAAATTTAAATATTAAGTAATACTTTAATCCCTCCATGACAATATACAATGATAAAAGTGCTTTAAAGAACATATTCAGTCAAGCTGCTTGTAAAATCATTCATGAAATTTCCAAGTATGACATGCACATTAAAGAGTATTCTTTTTTGTCACTTTAAGAGAAATGTCAACATGTAAATATACGCGCTGTGGCATCGTCTATAGGTGTACTAGTATTATCTATGCCGACTTAAAGGCACATTATGTCTCGGAATAATCTGTTTTCCTTCTTTGAAATGGGCTTACGTGAGTGTATGTCGTTAAAATAATGACTTTAGAGCACGATACATGCTTATAACCTGACGAAAGTAGTTTAAAATGTGAATTTATTTGTCATTAAAGTAGCAAAATGTAAACAAAGTAGTATTTTGTCTTTCATTCAAAATACTAATCAATACAACTGTACTTATTGCTAAAAACAACAGAAGCATGCAAAAGATAGTTCAGGTAATTGGCCAATGAGTAACTTTTTGGAAACTACAACATGACATCAAAAACAGGAAAAGCTTTTGAAAAATAGAAATAAAAACATTTCTACGACGTAATGGGCCTTCGATATTTGATGCGTTCAAACATATTATTTGTATTAAAAAATCAGTACAAATATCGAATTGTCTAGCTTGAAGAGACAAGAGTGTATTTGGTATAAATGAAGGATTATTCATCCTATTAGAAGTTGGCAAAATTGACAATAACACGAATAAAGTGTAGAATTTGATATATTGTCCCACTTGTTAGTCTTTTGTGTGGACATTTTGAGATTAATAAGTTGGCGGATTCATCCGGGCGCCCAATAAATCATCTCATATTGTTGACGAATGGAAACATTTTTAAAATGATGGAATGGATTTTTAGTAAAAATATTTGT